CCCCAAAACCCCAAAACCCCAGAGTTCAAATTATTAGAAAACTTCTAATTTAAGAAATAAAATAATAATCTCAAATATTCGACAAATAAAGAATACCAATAATCTTTACCTATCATTTTCTTACTCTATCCTCATTTTTAATGTTTAAATTACACAGAGGACATTTAGGATCATCAACATGCTTGGATATCCAACTTTTTAGGCAATTGCCGTGAAACAGATGCCCACATCTTTTAACTTTCCTAATCACATTTTTGGTCGTGTAATCATCGAAGCAAATCACACAGTTCTTCTCCTCATATTCAGCAAATCCTTAGTCGAATCTTCCCTTCGTAGTATATTCATCCATTGTCTTTTTAAGTTTCAGTTTGATCTCTTTGAGCTGCTATATCTTCTTTTTCTCATTGACCAATTCATTAAGAATTCTAATTTGCATTTCTTGCTACTATATATTTGTAAAAGTCATGTCCCCAACCTGTGCAGGCCCTCTTTATGCTGTTGGAGATACTCTGAAATGATTAGGACTTTGGTTAGGATTTCCTCTTGGAGAAGCATTTGAATATCGAGATTAATTATTAGGGTTAGTGTCATAATTAGAGTTCCTGCGTCTATCAGAATTTAAGGGAAGAGATGTATATTCCACATTTCTCTATATTACTGAATTCTATAAACCTTAGTTCTAATTACTCATAGCTATGCTTTCTTAAATTGCTTACTAAAGTCTCAAATCTTCTCCCATTGTAGTTTGAAATCGGGTCTGAGAAGAATAATTTATCTCAAATTAATCACTTCTTAAAGGAGACGAGGTTGGTATATTATAAGGTCCTGTTTATGAATGAGGATTAATAATGTGAATCTAATAAGTCATTTTTCTTCTTTAAAGAATACTTCTAAAACATCTTAGGTAAATAAAGAAGCAAATTAACACTAGTATTATCAGTGCTATTACAGCTACGAAGGGAATTATATATTGCATGGACATATCAGTTTTATTAGTGTTTTCCGAGCTATCAGTATTGTCATTGCTGGAACTTTAATATTCAGGATTAGTCGACATAAGTCCTTAATTTAGCGAAGGTGTATATTCTAATAATCTCATTTTATTTTTAAGATTTTTGGTTTACTAATTTAGAGGTAGAACTCAAAGCTCACTCTCTCCAAATTTCAATAAAAGCTTAATATCATCATTCAGTTTCATTGAATTAGACTATGGTGTTGCAAATTATAAATAATGACTAAATGGGGATGATTTTTATGAATCAAGAGTATAATTTTTCATTAATTTAATTTTACTGATTTATATTGGATTTTACATTTAAAAAGCAATTCATCTCTTATGGGGTTTTGGGGTTTTGGGG